GTGCCTAGCAAGCATGAGGCCTTGAGTTCAAAACCCCAGTACTGCCAAAACTCTAAAAGAAGAAACAAAGTATTTATACAAGATCCTTGTGAATGGCTGTGAGCAGGAAGTGCCTGTGCACAACCCCTACAATCAGCAGCCAGCACTGCACTGCCCTGGGTAAGTAGGCAGCCAGCAATTAAGTGAATAGACTCCTGCAGGTGTGCATTTGATTTCACTTAATACAATCACTGAGGTGGCAAGCCCCACATGTTTCTGTCCCTTAGGTAGCAGTGCTGTCACCATGTGGCACACACTGCCTACAGGAGGTGGCAATGCGCGGTGACCCCAGGTTGAAGGTGAAGTGTTGGTGGTTACAGCACCCCACGGCACCCCGTCCCTACTGCCCCTACTTCTGTCCCAGGCAGGAAGCATTCTCTCCTTTCTCTGAACTCATTCTGACTGGGCTTACTTCTGGCTGTTTCCACGTCTAGTAACATCCAGACATAGTGTTTCTTTGTCCCACTGTCAGATGATGTGCTGGAGAACTGCTACAATTAATTCCAGTCATCATTCATTAGAACTCCAAATGGTGCTGGGTGCTGGATGCCAGCGGCTCACACCTGTAATCCTAGCTATTCAAGAAGTTGAGATCTGAAGATGGAGAGTCAAAGTTATCCCAGGCAGGGAAATCCCTAAGACTCTTATCTTCAATTAACCACCAAAAAGCTGGAAGTAGAGCTATGCCTCAAGTAACCTTGAGGGGGGAAAAAAAAGCTTAAAGACTTCATATCTAAAATATACTTAGAACTCAAAAAATTAAATCCTCCAAAAACAAATCCTCAAAGAAACAATAGCCCTATTAATAAGTAGGCTAAAGACTTAAAGAGAGACTTCTCTGAAGGAGAAGTAAGAATGGCCAATAGACACATGAAGAAATGCTCAACTTCTCTGGCCATAAAAGAAATGCAAATCAAAACAACACTGAGATTCCACCTCATCCCAGAAAGAATGACTATAATCAAGAAATCTAATACCAACAGATGCTGGAAAGGATGTGGTCAAAAGGGAATGCGACTGCATTGTTGGTGGGAATGTAAATTTGTTCAACCACTTTAGAAAGCAATATGGAGGTTCCTCAAAAGACTCCACATAGAGCTCCCCTATGACCCAGCAATCCCACTTCTGGACATTTACCCAAATGATCACCAACAAGGCCATACTAAAGCTACCAGCACAACTTTGTTTATTGCAGCATTATTTACCATAGCTAAGATATGGAACCAACCCAGATGCCCCTCAGTAGAGGAATGGATCAAGAAAATGTGGTATATATATATAATATATGTATATATATAACATATATATATATATAATGGAATTCTGTGCTTCCATCAGAAAGAATGACATTAGCCCCATTTGTTAGGAAATGGAAAGACTTGGAAAAAAAATCCTATTAGGTGAAGTAAGCCAGACCCAAAGAAATATAGGTCCCAAGGTTTCCCTCATTTACAATAATTAGTATACATCTAGGAAAGCTAGGTACATATATGACCATATAAGATGATGCTAAGTGAAATGAACCCCAAGATATGGACACACGAGGTCTTTCTTTGTTGTTGCTTTTATGTAC